GTACGGGGATCAAGAAAGATGGCCGCAAGTGAGAGGGGAGTTGCTTATTGAGTTATACGAGCATGCTAGTGTCTACACGGCGATGTTTGGCAGTACCGGATACGTTGAGGTCATACGCAAGTGTGACTGGACCTCAGGGCCTTGTCCACAAGCTTATTGGATGGACATGAATGAAATGGGATTGGCCATTGCTACCAGATACAGTGCATTAGTGGTACTTTTGACTCAAGTAGGGAGTATGACTTACCTTCCTATGTTTGGCAGTGGTCACTTATCATGTATGATTGTTGTGACATTGCACAACAATCATTTCATGTTTGTTAATTTGGTCGCAAATAGTCCACTACCACCAATCCATCCGGCATGGGTACACCATAGAGCTAAAAACTTGAGGCACTTACTCAAAACGTACAAACCCCGACTACTCTTGTACGAACAATTAAAGTCTGGTCGGTAGTTCAATTTGTAGTTGTATCTGAAATCTAGTTCAATTTTATTCGTATTTGAAATTTAGATCAATTTGTAGTTGTATTTGAAATTTAGATCAATTTGTAGTTGTATTTGAATTCTAGTTCAATTTAGATCAATTTGTAGTTGTATTTGAATTCTAGTTCAATTTGTAGTTGTATTTGAATTCTAGTTCAATTTGTAGTTGTATTTGAATTCTAGTTCAATTTGTAGTTGTATTTGAATTTTTGTGTCAATTTTGTATTTGAAATTTAGATCAATTTGTAGTTGTATTTGAATTCTAGTTCAATTTGTAGTTGTATTTGAATTTTTGTGTCAATTTTGTATTTGAAATTTAGATCAATTTGTAGTTGTATTTGAATTGTATTTCGTACTGAATTTCCCGAAATGTCACTTCATATTTCGTGGAAAAATCTACGAAATATGGTCTTCCATTTCGTAGAAAACTCCACGAAATATGGTCTTCAATTTCGTATAAAACGCCACGAAATATGGTCTTCCATTTCGTGTACGTTTACACGAAATACACGATTTTTTTTTAATCGAACAGTTTCGTCCTTCGTGTTCTATAACAATAAACACCGCTATTTCGTGTGAAAAGAC